CTCGGACGTACGCCATGTCGATACATACAGCACACGCTTACCTGCGCTGGCGTAGACGTTGCCAGCGAGTGCGATCCCGGCCTTTCTGAAACAAGAGCTCGACGCCGTCCGCGCCAGCATGGGCACTACTGCGCCCAAGGTGGCGATCAGCACCGTTCGCCACACGCACAAGCTGGCGTTCGCTGTGCCCCATGACGCCAAGGACAAGGTGCTCTATGCGTTTGTGGCGCAGGTCCACGCCAACGATTCCACCGCAGCCCTCGAAGTGCTGCCCTCGACCTCGTACGTTGCGCTCTTCTCGCGTGCAATGCTGTATATGGCTACATCTAGTGCACCGCCGTCGCTCGACTATGTCTTCACCGACGGCTCGGGCTCGGTGCAGGTCCGCGACGACCAATTCGTCCTCTTCAAGGACGAGCCGATGACCAAAGGCGATCTTGTCGCGCTTGCCGCCGCCTACTGCGCGTCGAGCGGGAACGCTCGCTTGAAGAACGTCTCTCGGTCCAAAGCGCTCGAGGACGTGGCCAAGCTCGGGCTCATCGTGTACGATGGCGACGGCCTCTTGACGTGGGACTCGCTCGCGGGCTACGACACGGTCAAGGCCGAGATCCAGGACACGGTCGTCCTCGCACTGCAAAACCCAGCGCTGTATGATGCGATTGCCGAGCGCACGCGCTGCCGGTACTATGATGAGAGGTACTATCGGTGACGCACCCGACGCGACGTGGCATGTAGGTACGAGAGCAACCGGCCACGTGCCATCTTGCTCGAAGGACCGCCGGGTACGGGCAAGACGCTGAGCGCGCGCATCGTGGCTGCTGTACGTTTTCATTTGTGGACAAGTTGTCCTTTATTGTGTTTTGAAAATGTAGCAAGCGGGTGTCCCGCTCGTTCACATTCCGATCGAGAGTCTTGTCTCCAAGTGGTACGGCGAGAGCGAGAAGAAGATGGCCGCAATCTTTGACGCTGTCGACAAGCTCGACGGCGCGCTCATTTTTATCGACGAAGTAGACCATTTGTCTATGACGTAGAGGACAGATTGTATATGACCTGTAGATTGACGCGCTGGCGACCGCGCGCGGGTCGGGCAACATGCACGAAGCGACGCGCCGGATGCTCTCGGTGCTCCTCCAAAAGCTCGAAGGCTTCGAGTCGGCGAAAAAAGGTAGATAGACAACTTGTCCATTTACGAGACGACGACAATATGATACTAGTCACGTTGATTGCGGCCACAAACCGCAAGCAAGACCTTGATGCAGCGCTGCTGAGTCGCTTCAACCTCTGCATTCGCTACGACCTCCCGGACGACGCTACCCGTGCCGCGGTCTTCCAGCGGTATGATCAAGTGTTTCCCCACACATGTCATCGCTCGGTCGACTAGGTATGCCAAGCAGCTGTCGTCGGCCGACCTCGAGACTCTGGCGCATCACACCAGTGGCAAATCGTGCCGTGACATCAAAGAGGTATAGTGTCCTTAAATCGATCCTACTACCATGGACGACTGTCAACATGTATACTTCTAGATCTGTGAGTACACGGAGCGCAAGTGGGCGTCACATGTGCTTCGAAATGAGCAGTTGGCGACGTCGACGCCAAATGTGGATGCGTACTTGGCTGCGATCAAGGCCACGACGACGACGCCAGCCAGTGCATTTGTGGACATTTAACGTCCAATTTAGTACTGTTCACCGAGTCGAATCGCATACCGTGCCGCCTCGTGCATTGGGTGGTGTTGAGGCACCGCTGCCTCGGACGGTGGCGCAATCGCAGCGATGCGCCAGAGCTTGATGTCGAGTACGTACTGAACTCCTTGCCAGGAAAGCACGAGGTTGCCGTTGAGCACGGCCGAAGCCGGGTCGACGTAGTAGACGCCGTCGACGGTCCACTTGGCGCGACAGAAAAAATAGTGTGCACCCGCGTAGAGGAAGAAGGCGTCGCGCGTGCTCGGCAAGAACGTCGGCGAGGCCTTGGAATAGGCGCGGATAGCCGCATAACTGAGCACTTGGGTCGAGAGCACGAGCAAGATGAGACTCCAAAGTCGCCGCGAATCGCCCATCT